CCTTGTAAAAATGTGACGTATACACATAGTATAAATATCTATATAGACACTTTGTAATAGTGTACTGTTGTGTCTACATTCTAGCATGAAATGAAGGTGTGCGCACGCGCGGATAGCCTCAGCGTAGATACACCGACCAAGTGTATCTTATGTGTCCTCTCTCCTTTCTAATTTCTAGCAGTGGTATGTGTTAGCGGCCATTATTGTTTTATCATTCGGAAGCTCTATATAAATGTTCTGTTTGTGTGTAGTTTAAAAGAGATTTTAAGGTAAGCACAAGTTTTTAATTACCTCGTTACACCTTCCTAAGAGTATTATTAATATTATAGCAGCGACTCTTCCCTTACTCAATACCCAATTTACCATATTTTGACTCCAATGAATGAAATCTCCAAATATTCTCGTATAATGATAAAGAGGATAGCTGTGCAATATAATTTTTTTTTAATTTGGAAATAATAAAAATCTAAATGAACCAGAGAAAGAAAGATTTAAACACTTCAAAGAACTTCTTACACTGATATTCGGTAAGTTATTGTTGGATCAATATACAGATATGTTTAATATTCAATAATCAGTGTCATATAAAATTTAAGGGTGAGATTGTTAATCTGGAAATAAAATACAACAAAGTCCAACAGAGTGCTCGATGAATGAGTATGCTAACAAACCAACTGCTTGGAGGGAAAAGAGGAGAAAAAAATGACTAAACGAGGTCCACGAAATCGTGGCGATATACCAGTGTTTACCATTTTAGTATGTTGTTAAACTAGGTACTTATATTTTTAATACATTTTGATATAAATTCTGTTCTTTTACAGTGTTTTCTTACTTCTGGTTTCTGCAGTGTAAATAATTATTATTACTGTGTTATTTGCGCTATTGCGTTCCATGATATAAAGAAATATAAGAATTTTATCTTTTAACCACTTAGTCCATTTTATGGAAGAAAAATGGTACATTTAATACAAAACAAAAATGGAACAATTTTAAGGCTACTTCTCTTGAACTTACGATCGAGATACTTTTGGAAAATACAAAGTTTGCCTTCCTAATTTTCGTTCTAAAAGATATAATTGGTATCATTGAATAAATATTTCTTAAAAAGAACGAAAAGTTAGGCATCAAAACTTGTATTATTTCTAAATTCGTTCATAAGAAGTTGTTTTATCTAGCACAATATGTATATACTAAGCAAAATACATACGTATACACGCGGTAGTCACAACTGCAATGTGTAAACAGAGTTTAAACGTAATACACAAACACTGTGTATCCTACGGCACACTGTGTATCCCTTACTTTGTGTATACGTAAATGCTATACAGTGGCTACATTGTGAGGCGGACGTTTAACCTTTGTGCATACGTGTTGAACTACAATGTGTAAACGTAGCATATTTACATAGGGGGAATTGTGCCACCCTGTGTCTACATCTAATAATGTAAACACATCGTAAATGTGATTTGATGTGCTGTATGGGTACTCATCGATTCCTCATCAAAAATATGAAAAAAGTTTCTATAAACATGGGTATGGAAATGCATAGTTTTAGAGTTACAGAATGTTAAAACTTTTTAAAAGGTTTTGTGTAATTATCTTAAATACCATTATTTTTATTTTAAATTGATCTAGGTTGGACTAATAGTAGTAATAGCTAATGGTAATAATATTTAATAATAAATTAGGTAAAATATATACTTTATTAATTTTATTTTTATTTTAATTTTATTAATTTTGATTAATAAAATTGCGTTTACCTCATCAAGGAGGCAGAATTCGACAATATATCGAGAGATAACTTTTAATTGGCATTAAACGGTCTATATAATTTTGATATCAAAGAAAAAAGTCAGTGGCGCATATGATTTTTTTTTGAAAAAATATTCCCAGTGATATAACCCTTGATATGCACGTCCCTGATGAATTTATCAACACTTTTTAGCACTAAAATATGTAGCACTTACTTATAGTAAATTTTACCAACTTAAAATTTCATTCGAAACGCTAAAAGTACTTGGAAGAAAATTATAATAAATCGAAAAAATATTAAGATTTTGGATCTATGTTGATATGAAAAATAAATGTTATTTTTACGTGAGGAACCCCCCCACGAGAAATGGCACATGTTTTTTGAGAAACACCCTGTATATCATGGTTCCAAAAACTACAACTGTGTGTTGTTTATAGAGAATATGTCTGTCATATGTATGTCTGTCATATAGACAAAAAAACAATCGAGGGATCGAGGGGTGTCTCACTGTTGGAATTGTACATTTTCTTGGCGGTTACTGGCAGCCGCTTGGCAATAAAATTATATTTTGGCAGTACATTTTTTACCCAAGTGAAACGCCCCCTCGGATACAATAATTTTTGCCACATTTTTTTAACAAAACATGAACTGAAGTTCAGCGTTTCAATTTAAATATGTTTCAATTTTTAAATGTTGTAAACTCTGTCATGTAAAAAATGTTTATATAATGGTGACATGTTTGTTGGAATTGCATAAAGATGTCTTATCTTATTTCCTGGTTAAACTGGTTATTGCATAGCAATTAGTTTAACAACAAATTGCTGTTCTTCATTTATAAAAAATAATATTTTGGTTCCTGTTGGCCAAGTTAAACAAACGATATAGTCATCATAAAACTACCGATAAAGGTATTAAACATTTTATAAACTGACCCATTTTATCAAATATTTTCTTATTCAAATTAATGAACATATACAGAGTGTCCCTTTTTACGGAGTCTTTTTTTTTTTATAATGAAATCAATATTAATAAATTCTTAAACAAGTTACAATAATTACTAATAATTTGCGCTGAAGAAAGATATAACGCATTGTAAATCATAAGGTATGGGTATAGTACCTATAAAATTTTACATATAGAATATGTTTGAGCCACCCAGTATTTTGCAAAGTTAATTGCAGAAGCTAATTATTTTTTTTAGGAATGTGCTGTAGAAATAAATGTGCTGTATTATTGAAATAAGTTTCAATGTTGAAATATTGTTCGAAGGTATAAAAAGGTGTTCCTTCTTTAAGTGTAACATAGTTAATTTTGGCCTTGGTGAACTTGTTAACATGTGATAGTATAATAATATTTCTAAAGCATTTTATTTATTGCTGCCTTCAGGTGCCATTAAACGCAATATTCTGTATTCAGTAAAACAGAAGCAAATGCAGAAACCGGTAGTCCTCTCAAATTTTTTAATAAATAGTCATTTTTTTTTCATTTTCAAACTATATTTTTTAGATTTATTTGAAAAACTGCAAAGAGAAAATATATTTCTTTTATCGAAATCTAGCAGCCCGGAAATATTTTCACTTATTTCTCACTCTGTATAGTAAAAAATGATTAACCCAATTTTTTTTTATGAAAGAAATTCAAAGCCGTGTTCCTGGGATCACAATATACCACCCTTAAAAATATGTTCACTTAATTAAGACTCACCCTGTACAGTAAAAAATTATAAACCAAAGAATTCAGTAATTCTCTAGTAGAATTTAAGCAAAACATTTTTTTTTATTTTCAATACAAAATAACTCGGCAATTTAGGAGTAATTTGAAAAACGGTACAGAGAAAATGTTTCTTTTATAAAGATCTATCAACCCAGAAAATATGTGCAATTATTTAAGACTCACCCTGTATTTGAAAAAATACATGAGATGAATGTTACCACCCAACTTTCCCCTAATATACAGGGTCGCTGTTATGTATGGAAACGGTCGATTGTTAGGTAAAATATAGGAGGTACCCCAAAAAGTTAAATACAAAAGGTATAGGGTTTATAAATATCTTTTATTAGCGGGTAATACATTTAAGTATACAAAGTCGGTCATAAAGTCGTGGCACATAAAAAGTTTCATTTTTTTAAATGGAATCCCCTGTATATTGTTACATATTTCGGTTCTTTCTTCAATTCTAAGCAAAATCGAAATACACAATGTACCTCAAACCAACCGTTTCGAGTTATTGACTTTTGAAAATATCACTTAAACAATTTGATTTAATTAATTTCGATATGTTCAGTTTAATTTAACGATGCCATTCTGCCAAAACTGTGATAATTAATAATATTTGACATTAGTTCTCAAGTTAACATTTATAGATGTATAAAATCCGAGTATATCAAGTCTGGAAATTACAAAATTTCCGTTTAACATTTCAATTCTTCAATTTATGTACATTGTGTATTACGATTATTGCTTAAAATTGAAGGAAGAATTGAAACATGCAATAATATACAGGAAAAAAAATAAAGTTTGATGTGACACAACTTTATGACCGACCCAATATACTTAAATTTACTAGTAGCTAATAGGAATTTAAAAACCCATTACAACAGTACCACAGTTTCGGCAGAATGGCATCATTAAATCAAACCAAATACATCGAAATTAATTAAATCGAATTGTTCAAGTGATATTTTCAAAAGTCAATAACTCGAAAACGGTTGCTTTGAGGTACATTGTGTGTATTTCGATTTTTTGCTTAGAATTGAAGGAGCAATTGAAATATGTAATAATATATTGGGGGTCCTATTTAAAAAAAAAAATGTCAATCTTCAATACTTTATGAACGACCCTGTATACTTAAATTTATTTCTCGCTAATAGATATTTAAAATCCTATAACTTTTGTATTTAACGTTTGCGGTACCTCCTATATTTTACCTAATAATCTAACCTAACCATACATAAGAGCGACCCTGTATAAAGCGCTACTCTAGTATTCTATGAATGTATTGTCTTGTTTTGCAAATCATAAGAGACAGTTAAAAGGTGCATAATAAAAAATAGTTAATTAAAGAGAACTGTAAAATGAACAGAGTCACTGGTCTTGAACAATAAACATAAACCGAAATTTTATTACAGGATATGATGGCAAAGCAATACGTCTGTCTATAATGTCTATATTGGCAACGAATCGTTTCCGGTACTTTCAAATTTATTAAAACGACATCTAAATATAACTATACAGCTAGAATACTTACCGGTGGTGGTTCAGAAGAGCAGTACTCAGAGGGCGGGTACTCCGGCTTAATGGTGACAGTGGCCATCGATTCGAGGACCTGCTTCTCCTCCATGATTGTCGTCGTCGCAAATGAGACTAAATGCAAAATCCGTCTCTGTCGTCGATTTCTCTTTTCCTTTGCAAAGGCGAAAGTTTCTCGCTATAGTGTTGTTATTATTGTTGTTGTTATTGTAATAGTTTGTTGTTGTATCGTTGACCGGCTGCTTAGACCGACTGACGTGACTGGGGACGGGGCAGGAGCCTTGTAAGCGTTGCCCCTACCGCGAGACGTGGACTCGGACCCGCGGCAGGCAGGAATTGCTAATTGGTAAATTGTTGTTGCTAAGAAACTAAGAAGAGGCGAGCGGTTGATATACACCGCCGTTCATTCTAGAAAACACGCAGTGCCGAGGCCGAACTATGATGTTTTGTAAACATCGAATGGGTTTGAAGTGGTTCCGCTCTCGGCGTACTAGTTTATCTTTACGACAAGTTAAAAATTTAGTTCCTGCTGATGAGTATATACAGTGAAAAATCTCTAAGTCGAATCTTCAAGGGGCCGGAATTCAAATTCTTCAAATTATCGGAAATTCGAATTGCAGAAAAATACGTTATTAAAAGCCAGAATGTAGAATGTATGGGAGGGAGTTAATCACCGCGACCTTACAGATCTATTTTGTCGTCATTTCTTAAGTTATAACTCATCATACAATCTCAGGACTTTGACAAAAAGCCAGTATCTGAGACGGTTTTACAGAGGATAGTTCTCCATCTCCGATATAACTAAAAGTTCATGGAAGTGTTCTAGCGTTTACCTATTTTCCCACAGAATCTGCATTTGTCGTTGTTTCTTATTAGCTTTACTGAGGTGTTCGTTGAGGAAACAGTGTCCTGTTAAAGAAACCCCTAAGAATTCGAAGATTGTTCTTACTTAAACCAAGGAAAATCTTTGATTTTCTCGGACGTAAGTTTGGAGACTTTTTCAAGTGTCTTAGACCGTTGGAGGATTCCCATTCCAGGTTACGGATAGAGTCTTCCAGGCTCTTGAGTTTCGCTTTAAGTTGGTTTCCAGTTGGGAAGCAGAACGGTACTGGCTCAGTTAGTGGAGTGAGAGAGTGAGAGCTCTTTTCTAACTACATTGTTTGCTTTTTCGTGGCCTCCTTTTTGGTGGGCCTCCCTCTCTTGGTGGGCTGGCACGAAGAATAAATTGGATGTACTGTGTTGTTTTAATCTTCTATCCTAGACATAAGATGGAAACATTCTCCAATACAAATTGGGGAAAGGAGTTGCAGATGGGTCTTTTGAAGAAATTTTTAAAACGAAATATTTTAGGCCCGATTCACTGTCAGAGTCGTCATCATCACTTTCAGCTTCAAAACTGCTTGAAGAGAGTGACTTTCATATAGACTTAATAAGTTTATTTAAAAAACCTAAATCGCCCATCACTCCCACTCAGAAGGACATGAAATGGCTTGGCATTATGAAATTGACAAATACTTATCCGATTCAAGAGTTGGCGGTTCTGAGAATATTTTAGAGTGGTGACGAAGACACGAAAATGTTTTTCAAGTTTAGCTACCATAGCCAGGGATTTTTTAGCCACACCAGCGTCGTCAGCTCCTGTTGAAAGACAGTTTTCTAGAGCCGCCCTTACTGTCACAAAAAACCCGGAACCGATTAGGCGACAATGATGTTAGAAGCCTTATGTGCCGTAGATCTTGGATGGCGAACGACAATATTAAAGGCCTATTTTAAATGTATTATTATTTATTTTAAAATTTAACTTTGCGGAAGAAGCCATACATAGAAAAATCAGTTTTATTAAGTCGTTAAGGATAATCTATATTTACGTTATTATTATTACTATTTACGTTAATAAATAGTTTCTTACTTTATTTGTTTTTCATTGTTGTTTTTTTAATCCGCAATTCTTGTTAACCTTAGAACTTCAGTTTTTTTCAATAAAGTTTATTAATGCAGAATTTTGTGGTTGATTAAAAATATCAAATGAAACTTAATACAAAGTGAAGTAATCAAGTAGCTTGACAAAAATCAAGTAGTTGTAAGCAATCGCTTGACTTTTCAAGTACTTAAAATTGTAACTACTTGACTTGATTTCAAGTAAACACATAATAATCGAGTTGGCGAGTAATCAACTCGAGGGAGGAGGGTCATGGTCAGGTCCCATATGTCCCTCTTTCAGAGAAAGAGAGGGACATATCCTCTATTATAGATACGGGACAACACCGGTATCAGGTCTAAGGAGAGACCAAGTTAAAGAGGTGAAGAAAATGGAGGCAGATCCTCCAGCCTCCCACCTCAAGTGTACCTCAGCCGGAGGCAAGCTCCTCGACTGTGAAGGGCACGGAGGGCCAAACTCCAACCGTGGAAGGGTTTGTACCCTCGGAGGAAGAACTGTTGTCAGAGGAGGATGGGAAATATCCTGTTCCCTCTAGAACAGGGGTATGATGGGTTATAGACTGTGTGATGACTCAAGGAAGGGGGGCACAATAGATCTTTAAGGTCGCAGTGATTATAACCCCCTCTTTACTCATTCTACATTCTAGAGAAACTTGTCTCCTCAACGAACACCTCAGTAGATCGAAGAGAAAATTGGGAAACACTAGAACACCTCATCATTGAGTGTACCGAGACGACAAGCGTTCGTGCCATAAAAAATTTGGTACGGCTGATGTCGGAGATAGCATGTCCATAGCTAGCCTCTATGGAACCGTCTCAAATACTGGCTTTTGTCAAAGCCCTGAGACTCTATGATGAGTTATAATTCTTTATAACCCAAGAAAGGGAATACATAATAGATCTGTAAGATAACGGTGATTAACCCCGCCTAAACATTCTACATTCTAGAGAAACTTTGAATTACAGAAAAATACGCTAAATTAAAGGTTTAATAGAAAAAACGACTACAAACATATAACATAAAATAATATTTAAATATCGCTTTCCCATTTTAATTTTTCTAAAAAATCGTCTAATCGTTTCTAAAATATCTCACTACTTTTACTGCAACCGATAAAAATCGCATGAGATGCGTGCAGAGACTAAAGATCCATACCGCATATGCATAATGCGCTGCTGCGGTTTGGTTTGGTTTGGTGGTCGATTTGATGGGTTGTGCGGCTGTTCGTGGTATTGGGCGAATTTCTAAAAAGATCTACAAATCGCAGCGGCGAACCGCATCGAAGCAATGCATAAACGGATCGCATCATAATCCTTAATTAATCCGGGTGCGCCTCAAAGTGGCTCACTCCTATAACTTTTTTAGTTTTCAGATAAACAAAGCGGATTTGGTATTGAGATTTGGTATGTGACATAAATTAGATTGATTGACTTATTCAATTGTTTTTTGGTTACTTCCTGTTTCACCGGAAATGAGCTACAACTTAGATTTTTAAATAACACCCTCGGTGTATTTCTACTTTGTTCGATGAAAAGCACTGAATCGAAAGTAACTAAAATAAAAGAGTGTTTGAAAGGTTGTCTAACTTGGCCATAATTTGCATAGTTCAGTTAGGGCTCCAAAGCGTCGCCACCTGCTACCTGTCACGTGTCATTACAAAGAATGACAAATGACATGACAACAAATTGTTTGTATTTTGCAATTGTTTACAATTTTGTTTTGAATTTTTGGAATTTTGTTATTATTTGTGTAGCATAAACTTTGTTTGTTTGTGTTGTGTTTGTGCATTACAGAAGTATGGACAAAGTTTTATTTCCCGAGGAACGAGAGACCTTATATTTCTCTATGATTTGAACTTTATATTTTGTGCTGTGTTTTGCCATCATCATGTAATATTTTGTTCAGCCGATGATGTGATTTGAACACGATCCAGGAAAGGGTATCATGGAAAGCAAGTTCGATATGTAAAGACATTGCCCATCTCTGAACTCTGTGAACGTAAAACGAACTGACTATAAATTTGCGCCTTCATTTAATAGTGTTGAACATTTGCTACATCAACTGAACTTCAACTGCTGACTGCTGAGTTTATAAATCCAACTTAAAGGTGAATTAATTTTTGATGATATCTTATTTAAATCTTTATCTGTTATAATAGCATAGATTGCAAACCCTGCGATCTTATATGCTTTGTTAGTGGCGTTGTTAAATACGTTTTATAATACTATAGGTAAATCGAAGGGTAAATCGCTGGTGTATTTTGGTGGTGTACAAGATGTTGGCATTTTCGTGGCATTATTGGTATTAGTACTAAATTATTTGGCATTACCTTGGCATTAGTGTACAGAAATTCATCAGGAGTTTACCCCTCGAAGTTAATTCAGCATATATGTTTTATATTATCAAATTTAATTTAGCATTTAACTGTAAGCATTTGAAAAGTCTACAATAGTTTATACTTTTCAAATATTCCGTTTTTAAAAATAAACTTTCGTTATATTTTTGCAGTTTTAATTTCGTAATATTTTAAAAAATACATAAAATTTTATATTCATATTTAAACAGCCCGCCTTTTTTGTGGTAGGCAATGCAGATACCTATTTTACCGATAAGGTCTGTCATATTTCGATTAGTTCAGTTAGGGCTCAAGGGTGCGCTACAATCGATCTTCGTTAAACGTGTTGCCTACTTTTGACTATGGAAATGACAACTCTTTTATTTTTATATTTCTCTATGCTCTGAATAGAATGACATACAGTGTTGTTACAATAGGTACAATTGTACTATTTTGGGTACATTTGATAGTCAAGGAGTACATAGGTACCCAATTGCAAGAAAAAAATGTACAATTCTTACTTCTCAAACCCAAACTTAAACCCACGTACATATTTTTTAGACGAACGGTGATACTGATGCATTAGTTTGAAATGCAGGTCGCTAGGAGCAGAGGCACAGAATTATACATCACTTGAAATGCTGTTCAAGCCGCACGGATGTCAAGCAGTTTGATATCCGTGCGGTAATGGAAGAGACTAATCACTGCGACCTTAGAGATCTATTGTGTCTGATGTCAAACGTGACGTCGCAATTACTTCCCATTTAACCAATGCTATTCAAAGCTCTTTTAGCTTCTGTATTGCTGGCTCCTCTGT